TAGCGATGCCCTAGTAGCTTCTTGCTCCTAGTAGTAAGGCCAGGAGCACCTAGTAGCGTCCTTGCTACTAGCAGTAAGGGGAGGAGCCCTAGTAGCGTCCTTGCTCCTAATAGCGATGCCAGGAGCCCCTAGTAGCGCCCTTGCTACTAGAAGAAGTTAACAAGGTGCCTTCCTATTCGTATCAAGAAGGAAACCCTTTTTATGAAAAAGGAAATCCAATAGCGATGGCCCCCAAACCTAGAGAAGAAAAAGCCCTGGGGGGGCGGTAGGCCGCGACGAGGGAGGTAGAAGCAAACGGGAGTCGCTACTAGCAATAGGTCGCTACTACCCACTGAACGCAGGATAGCTCACGCTTCAAGGAAGCTCCCCCCACCTGAGGGCAGGCAAAAGCTTCCTTGCAGAAGCGCTCGCAATGATCATTTAGTAGCGTTCTCTTGCTCCTAGTAGCGATGCCAGGAGCCCGTAGCAGCGTTCTCGCTCCTAGTAGGTACGGCCAGGAGCCCCTAGTAGCGTCCTTGTTACTACTTTTTCAGAGAAACTTAACAGTTGTTTCTTTCGTTTTGGGTTCAATGCGATATGATTCCCCACATGCATCGAGGCCGTGTTTGAGGCTGCTCAGCGGGGTGACTCTCATAAAGTTCACACAGTGCCTTGGAATCCGAAAACCGGTTCTTTGGAGAACACCTAGGAGCAAGGACGCTACTAGGAACAAGTGCATCGCTACTAGTAACAAGTGCCTTACTAGTAGTAACAAGAAGATATTAGAAACAATATTATGGTTGCAGGTGGCCGGCGCGTGGATATCTTTCCCACTGCCGAACCCAGGGGGTGAATGTGCATATGTGTGGCATGCGCTGGTGTTGTTCAGTTTCTCCTTGATGTTCATATACAGAACAGAGAAAACTCGTCTCTGCACCACAAAAACAAGGAGCCAATGAGTACAGGCCAGCGCTTGTAGGTTGGAGGCCATCGCTAGTAGGTGGGAGGCCAGCCATCGCCTTGATATCGGCCGGTTGCCGAGACTCTCTGACATGACGGGGTCAGAAAGTCAACGCCGCTTCTCACTGAAGCGCTGCAGTTTATGGGACAAGCCTGTGGCTTAAAAAGAAGTATGTATGACTGTGTTTTTCTTTGTGAGACCGTAAATGAAGCATCAAAGCAACAATAAAGCCGTCAGAATCCAGGGAAGATAGCTATGCCCTCCATACCCTGTACATGGCATTTTGGAGATGGAACATGATGGAAAGGTGGCTGTGCAACCAACAGAGTCCAAATTGCTCCACATCCACACTCGGATGGTTGGCCTGCAAGGGAGAGAGAGAGAGAGAGCGGGGGGGGGAGTGCTGAAAAATGGCGCTGCTGAAGTTTCACTTTGTTTTTTTGATATAGCTCGTGCGCGCTCAACAACTAAACTCACACGAAGAGCAAAACAAGACAAGTGGGTTGCTTTCCATCTTCAAGGTCCACTGCCCGGAAAGCCATGCAGCGCACGCCATACTTCGCAACCAACAAAAAAGAAACAGAGAAGAGACCTCTTGGTTTTTCCTTCCTACTAGGAGCAAGGACACTACTAGGAACAAAGGGCATCGCTACTAGGAGCGATCGGACGCTACGAACGGGGCTCCTGGCCTTACTAGTAGCAAGAAACTACCTTACGTCCTTCTTTGACTCACACTTGTGAGGCGTTGAAGGCGCATGGCGACCCGAACTGCGTGAACTTTGCTGGATACAACGCTCGGTGCAAAGAGCATGTTGGAAAGGCTTCTATTAGGATGGAGACCACACATGCCTTTGTTTCATGTTTGTTCTTGCTTTTCTTGCTAGTAGGTTGGAGGCCATCACTAATTACTAGGTTGGAGGCCATCGCTAGTAGGTTTTTGCTCTAGCTTTGCTGTTTCTTTGCTTTCTTTTGGAAAGGCGTCTAGAGAGTTCTGCCGAAAGACATTGGTTCGCTTTGTCACTTTTCTTTGCAACCGAGGCCTTGATGCTTTCGGTGGCAGGTGGCTATATTGAGGCATTCTGAAAGGGGTCAACCACTCTGTTTCTTTTTCGCCATTAGTAGGATTTTGTTTGCTAGTAATTACAAGTGCCTCGCTAGTAGTAACAAGTGCCTTACTGGTAGTTACAAGAAGCTAGTAATTACAATCCTAGGGATTACGAGGGCTTCTTCAAAGAAGCTTCCCCCGCCTTTAGGGCGGCGTGGGGAGCTTCCTTGAAGCGTGAGTTATCCTGTAGCCTCTTGTTACTACTAGTAAGGCACTTGTTCCTAGTAGCTTCTTGTTACTAGTAGCTAACTTAAACTACTAGCTACCGTTTGAGCTACCTACCTCTAGCTACTACCTACCTCGTCGCGGCCTATCTACTATCCCCCTTACAAAATAGAAAATATAAGAAATAACAAATAACAATAATGCACTCTTGTTCTTTCCTTCTTTTTTCTCACTTTGTTTCTTCCTTCGAACATCTCTGAGGTCGTAGCCATGTTACTCCAGGCGAGACATTTTCTCCAGCGCTTTCCAGCGAAAGAGAATCCGGGAAAAATGCAGAAAACGATAAGAAAAATGTATATAACAAAAAGCTATTAGAAACAAGTGCCACGCTAGTAGTAACAGGTGCCTTACTAGTAGTAACAAAAAGCTATTTTGAAATATGTCTTTGTCAAGCATGTTTTTCCGGAAATGAGGCCAGCGCTGACCCGAATCGAGGAATTTCAGGAGTGGCACCCTTGATGATTGCGCGGGAAGCCGAGAAAGCCATGTCTGAAGCAGAAACGAAACGTGCGAGATACGTGTTTACTAGTAGTAACAAGTGCCACGCTAGTAGTAACAGGTGCCTTACTTGTAGTAACAAAGAAGCTATTAGAATTAAGTTTAAATTAATAGCGAACCTTGTTACTACTGATACTGTCAACTTTGTCAGGGCAGCATCTGGCCAGCTGGAGGCGGCTTTGTCGCATTGGGATGAAAGCAAGAAGCACAGCAGCTAAACATGGTGAATCTGCCCAAGCATCGAATGCAGTTTGTTCAACAATGCTAGTAGGTTGGAGGCCATCGCTATTGGTGAAGTTTCCCTAAAAATCTAGGAAGCTCTCATGGATGAGATGGATGAGAAACACGGAAACACGCAGCTATCATGGGATCCTACTTTGGCCAGTAAGCTAAGACTTTGCAGCACGGGACATCGCCACTGAAACATGTTTTAAAGGCCGCCCTGCCCGCCAACCTAATTGCGATGGCCTACAAATTCCAACAAACACGTAAACTTGTCCTGAAATCAAAATTTAATATTCTTCTTGTGTCTAATGGTAAGGCCCTTGCTCCTAGTAGCGATGCACTTGTTCCTAATTAGCGGCTGCTTTTTCGTCTCGGTGTTCGAACACGAATCCGTGCAACACATGGTGTGAGGTCCACACAGAGCGCACCCCGGAAGATTAGAGCTGATTTAGCCAGAGTGATACCGTAGCCCTGTAGATGTTTCACGTTCCTCAAGTCGTGCAGCTGTTGCGCTTGCAATTTCTTCCCATGTGTTGGATTTTTCTTAGGACTTTCATGCAACGTCTTGCAATCTTTAGTTACTAGTAGTAACAAGAAGCTATTAGAAACAAGTGCATCGCTTCTGGTAACAAGTGCCTTACGAGTAGTAACAAGAAGCTAGTAGTAACAAGTGCAAAAAAATGGATTTCATCCGCCAATTAGCATTTCTTAGGTGTCTCGAATGCTGATCAATTGTGGTGCTGCAGCGACCGGAGCCTGCGAAGCGATGGGCAGGTGCGCGAAGCGCTATGGAAGAAGCGTCTATTGTTTAAAGCTTTGAGCGAAATGCGAAAGAAGAAAGAGGAGAATTGGAAGCTATTAGGTTGGAGGCCACTAGTAGGTTTGGTATGGAGTCTCCACTCTTGTCTTGAAAAGATCAAGAAAGCTTCTTGGGTCTGGAGGGTTCTTGGATTCAGCAGAAGGTCGCCAAGCTTCCTCCGGTGTCCTCCGGTTTCTTCACTTAGAAGGCTCACAATGCTTCGACAAGGACTGCTCTTCATCGGGCAGCAGAGCGAGGCCATGCAGAGATCGTCCGTTTGCTGGTCCAGGCGAGAAAATGTCCAGGAGCAAGGACGCTACTAGGTTGGAAAGACTATTTGGTTGGAGGCCATTGCTACTAGGGTGGAGGCCATCGCTAGGTTTTTGTCTTTATCCTTTCAGAGTCATTTCTTCATAAATCCTATTGACGCTTTCGGGTTGCAGTTTGCTCCAGGCCGGCGCTTCTGTGGATATTGGTGACTTTGAGGCGACGAGAAACTCGAATCGGCTTCGTTGTGGCTGTGCCTGCAACCCTCGTTCTGTTTCTGACGAAAATTGCAAAATCTGGTTTGAGGCCATCGCTACCTAGTAGTGTCCTTGCTTCTAGTAGCGATGCCCGTTGCTCCTAGTAGCGTCTTGTTACTAGTAGTACTTGTTCTCCACCCTAGTAGCGATGGCCATGCTGGAAAACATATTTGCTGTTTTGTGCTCCCACCTTGCACAGAGACATGAAATGATATGAATCGCCCTACACAGCGCACACTCCTGATTGCGCCCTTCATTTGTCAACTTGTTTTCACACGTAATCACGCTTCAGTATAAGCTTTCTGCTTTCCACCTCTTCACTGTCGGGCCATCAGCCTTTGAAAGCCTCTTTCTTTTTTGTTGAACTTTCAAGCTAATAGCGTCCTTGTTACTAGTAGTAAGGTCAGGAACTACTAGTAGCGTTCTTGCTCCTAGTAGCGATGCCAGCCCCTAATAGCGATGCACTTGTTCCTACTAGTAAGGCACTTGTTACTAGAAGCGTGGCACTTGTTCCTAAT